GAGGAGGAGGAAGAAGAGGAGGAGGAGGAGGAGGATGACAAGGACGAGGAGGAGGAGGACGAGGAGGAGGAGGACGAGGAGGAGGAGGAGGACAACGAGGAGGATGAGGAGGACGAGGAGGAAAGAAGAAGAGCAGAGCAGCACAGAGCAGGAAGGAGTCCACCCAGAAGCTGTTGGTGCAATACATCCTCCATGCCTGCCCCTCTGGGCAACCACCCTTGTGAACAAACTGCCCACTTCCTCTACCCAGTGTGCCACCTACACTTCTGCTCAGGGCTGTGGTCTTTCCTTCCCCATCCCTTCTATGCAAGGGCTCCTGTCCCAAGGTTTGCATGCTGAGACTGGAGGAAGGGAGGGTAGGGCTCCATTTCTCACAGGCAAAAATGGGAATTGGAGGGCCAGGTGGTGAATGTAGGTAACTGAGCCCGGCCTCTCCCTGTGAGATACCCCTGAAAGCCTCAAGGGAGGAGAAGTGAAAATGAGCAAGGTTGAAATGCAGGCAACTCCCCTAGGGGCCTCGCAGGCTGGGCAAGCCTCTTCTGGGTTCTCCTTTCCGCTGACTTTTGGGACTCTGCGCCTTGCAATTTGGGGGTCAGGGATAGCAGTGGGTTTGTTTGAAGGTGCAGCCTTTCCTCTCAATAGAGTCTGATGCCCCGGGCAAGCCCCAGGCTCTCCCAGAGTGTCAGCCGCTCAGGCAAGTTCCATTTCCTGGGGGATGAAGCTCACTCTCCCCCCAGCGGAAAGAGCACACACTCATTTCTTTCTTCAACAAGTTTCGCTGTCTCCCTCCAGCCCTATTTTCGAAGAGGACACGCCTTCTGTTATGGAAATAGAGATGGAGGAGCTTGACAAATGGATGAACAGCATGAACAGAAATGGTACGTGGAAACCTAAGGTTTGGCTTCCTCTCTAATAATAGAAGGCTGTGACGACTCCATAAATACCTTGGTATATTCTGGAGCGGGACAGAGGCCAGTGCCACATTCCGTCCTGTGTGTGCAAACAATAAATTTAGGCCTGACCCATCCTTAAATATCCAGTGTAATTATTGCATCAAATCTCGACACTTACTTTTATTTGTGAAGTTGTTACAATGATCTGTGTCAAGCAGGACTCTCTGTCTCTCTCTCTCTGTCTCTCTGTCTCTCTTCCCCCCTTCCTTCCCTCTCTCTCTCCTTCCTTACCTCTCCCTTTTTCCTTTTTTCTTTCTGATCCTCAGGCTAGGACCCCGGCAAGCAGTGCACTGCCGAGCTGTGCCCCATCCTGATCTCTCTTTTTTTCCCAAGCAAGGAAGTCTGAGTGCAAATTTTCTAAGGAAAACATCTAGCACTGCCTTAAAACATTACAGAACTTAGAGTCTAAAATCTTCATCTTGATATGGATGTACAAATTTATTAAAGTTTACATAGATTTATGGTTGCCATGTGTGGCAATTGACATTGAGCAAATAAAAGTAAAATTGAGTTTTAGTAGCCACATTTTGAGGGCTCAGTAAGCAATCATGTGGTTACAACAGTGGACAGATGAAACTAGATCACTTCCTTTGTAGGAGATCTTTTGGGCAAGGCTAGTATAGACAGTGATATAAATAGTGTCAGGAAAATTTCCTGTGGACATCTGGCAGTAACTGTAATAGGTGTTTCCTAATTTCCAATAAATCAGCAATTAGTTTTCTTTAAAAATCATTGTTATTTTTAATGTTCAGGCAAACCAATACAGTCCACTCTATCACATCATTTGTATGCTTAACATTTATCTTCTGAGAATATCCTGGAATCTATACCTTCACGTCTACAATGGAGCTTTTTCATGTTCAGAAATTTGATGAACCTTCCACTTTGCTAATAAAACTTCCAACAGTTTTTCAGGTTGATAGAAGAAGAGCTTGAAAAACATTTGAGGTTAGAGGTGGGCCATTGATTTAGTGGTTGAATTTTTTGTTTCTAGTAGAATCGGAGACAAGCAAAAAAGAAATAGAAGGAAAAAAAATTCCACCATCCACAGGCAATTTATCTTAATATTTTGGTGTATTTCCTTTTGTGTCTGAGATTTTTTTTTTTTTTCCCGGAACCAGGGATTGAACTCAGACCCTTGCGCTTGCCAGGGAAGCGCTTATTCTGCTGAGCCATCTCCCTGGCCCTGTGTTTGAGATTTTGTGTAACACAGTGTCATGACCCTCTCATGACCAGAAGCCGGAAGGCTGGTGACGACACTGGGATTTGACAACCGATGCAGGCAGATTTTGACACATGCGGCAGCACTCCAGAGGAAATGGGGTTTTGTTTGTTTTTTATTTTTGCTTAAAAATAATAGATGGTGTAAGGGAAGAGAGGGCAGCTGCAGACGTGTAGGAGGCGATTGCTGCTGCGCCCTCCGCCCTCCTCTGCTGCGGCCTGACCCAAGTCACCCTGCAGACCCCTGGGGCCAGGCACAGCCGGCTCACCCCCGTTCCTGAAGAGCGCAGATTCTGGCTCGGCTCCGGCGGGAGCGGGAAGCCCGCGGTGACGAGCTGCGCCCTTCCCAGCAGGGCAGAGCAGGCTGACGCCTCCGGTCTGCGGTATCTGCTTTTTCTGTTGCTAGCGCTGGGCTATCCTTAATCTTTTAGCCTGCAGAAGTCCCTCCTGGGGCGTTTCCGCACAGGTAGCCGCGCAGGCCGGGGAACGCCCTGCTCAACCGAGTCTGTTCGGTGAATAGAAAGTCGAATTGCAGTGACTGACCATGAGTGTGTTTGCATTCTGTCCTAGCCGACTGTGAATGTTTGCCCACCCTGAAGGAGGAAAAGGAATCGAACCACAACCCGAGGTACTCTGCTTTCCACCACAGAGGGTGTGGGGACGGAGAGGAGGCTTGTGGGGGCCGCGGGGGCCCTTCCCCCTAGCTTTCTCTGCACCTGCCAATTTTAGACTTTTCGCGGAGATGTACATGTGCAGTGTGGACAAAAGGAAGTGGGGGGGTTCAGAAAATACAAAACTATACGGTTGACTCCCTCGGATCTATGTTTGGTAAAGAAAATAGAACTGGGTGACAGTCCCAAAGGGGTTGAATGGAGGAAGAGAAACCTTTAGAAAAAACAATTTTTTAAAAGCCCACCTGGATTATTATAGGAGGGAAATTAAAAAACATATATTCCATCCTACCACTAGGTGGCTCTGCTCTCTAGAACATTTCGGCGCCCTGGGACTTTGGTGTAATTAGCCGCACTTGGCGATCTCGCTTAAACTATCTTCTGTGAGGATTACAGTGCCTGTGTTGGCTGGGGTGTAGGCTGGGCTCGTGGGAAATGGGATGAATAATTTAGCAAGCTGCAGATTTGCTCTGCAGAACAGCGCCGTGACCCGGGGGACACCTGGCTGTGGGCAGGAACAGCCTGTGGATGACCAGGGATGGGAGCATCTGGGCTTGGGCTGGAAATAGGACACTGGTGTTGGAGGAAGCAGAGCCAGCTTTAGAGCAGGGTAGACACCACTCACCTGCTCTCTGCCAGCCATAAGGAGAGCTCTCGCGCCCGGAGCCTTAAATGCCACCACGTGCACCCCGTGTCACGTGTACCCGGTGTTCCTAAGGCCAGATCTTTGCAAGTAGCACGTCATTACTAAACAGTAGAATGAGTCTGTTAGCTGTTTGGTTTTTGGACTCTTTTTCTGCCTCTTCTCCCTAAGCCATCCGACATCTCTCTACACAACACAACACAACACAACACAACACCACACAAAATTTCGGTACCAAAGTCTCCATCTTATTGTAGCGTTAAGCCAGTAGGACTTTTCTAGGTATTTATATGTCAAATTTCATCACCAGTTCAGAGAAGATTCCATCTGTTTGAAAGAGATTCCCAATTCCTAATAAGCAGGCCAAAGAAAATTGCTGTAGGGTGTATGACGAAGGAAGTATTTCCCCCACGTTGTTACCTTACCTAAAAATGAGCCACTAAGCCTCTCCTGCACAGGGTTCAGGTTGTCGCCCTGATGCGCGCCCTGCAATGCGCGACACACCTGTGTTTACACGCCTGCCTCTTGCCCTTTGAAATGACTGCTTGCACAAGAACTTAACCTTACAGCACTTTGCAGTGGTGAAGCCTTGCAAAAAATCAGACTTGGGGAAATATTAAGAAATTGTTCATTAAAGCAAATGGTTGCTCATTTCTACCCCTAAGGCAAGAAAAAGGACAGGGGTTGGGGGAGAGCCTTCAACCATTTGGAGAATTTTATGTGACATTTTTATCTTTCAAAGGAGCGGTTCTAGCCCTCCACGGCCCCGGATCTGTCTGCCTTTCATCCACAGGACACTGGCCTGAGCTCCCGTCCTTCCACTTGGGCACCAGGGTTTCAGGGCCAAGAGAGGCAGGTCCCTGGACCACCTCACCGTTCAGATGATCCTTCTTTCCTGTTGGAATTTAATTTACATTTCTTTCTTACATTAGCGGGCCTCAAAACATTTACTTTGGATATCTTATCTGGAACAGAGTGAGATTTCCTTTTCTGTCTCAAAGCTTGACGATTGTTGGACATCCAGGTGGGACGCACGCTGGCCACAGGGCTTCGAGGTAGAGGATGGCTTTTCAGTGCTGATGTGAATGCTGATTAGCTCTTCAGACTAAGAACAGTCGCGTTGGCCCTGAGCTGCCATTGCCTCCTCTTGCAAAATGGAAATCAGGAATTTGCCCTTCTAGTTTCATAGGGGTCATCTGAGACTAAAACCACTGTCTAAAATTTAAAGCATAATGCAAATGAAACGAACGCTTTTGATGGCACGACAATCGTTCTCCCTTCTCTCCCATGGGCTTTTAAAAACATTATTCTATAGAGCAGTTTTAGGTTCACAGCAAAATTGAGCAGAAAGTGCAGAGAATTCCCATGCGTCTTAGTCATTTCCTCCTTACTGGGACTCAATACCCAACACCAACAAATTAAAGGAGGAGAGGTTTATCTGGGGGCACGTTTTTAGAGGTTTCAGCCCATAGTCCGCTGGCTTTAGGGCAGAAACCTCACCACTGGAGGGGCCAGGGGATGCTCACCCCAATGCAGCCAGGAAGCTGAGAGCTGAGGGAGGGGCAGGAAAGGAGCTGCACACCTCCTGGCCACGCCCCACGGGCCCGCCCCTTCCAACCAGGCCCGCATCCTCAGCTCACATTTCACTGCCCCTCCCCCATGATTCAGTCACATTCCAGAAGCCTTCTCTGTGAGTGCGTGCATCTTCCGACGGTTGTCTAGATAGCAAATACCTTCTGTCCTCCAGCACAGTGGTATCTCCAGCAACATGGTGCCACTGTCACCCAAGCTGGCATTTAGGGGTTTGAAGTAACTCACTCTGTGAGTCATCCTTCCTCATCTCTTAAGCAATGTGCAGGTGACTTCATGTTTCCCTGAGTATGTGACAGTCACTAAAGATGGAATTCAGAGGAAAGCATACTTAATCCATCTGGGTTAAACAAAGACAGGCTCATATGCAGGGCTCAGCCCGCCATGGTGCTGCAGACGTAACTGGTAGAGCGCTGTCATCCACGAGGTCCACCCCCTTCTGGGGAAAGGCGTGGTGCTCATGGCCATCCTGTCCTTAATAGGCCACACCCTGTGCCAACACCTCCGCTGTCCTTCTCTGCATGTCCTTCTCCCTTGCCCCACGTCCAATCGCCAGCTGTTGTTCATCACTTTCCTCATCCTTATTAGAGGTTGTTTTCTTGAGGCATAGACTCTCAAATTTATCATGGATTTTTACGGTCCTGGATAGCCAACCCAGGAGGTCTTGGGCATGCTGGGCAGATAGCTGCTTGAGCTTCCACTGAGTGGGACTTTCATGAGGACCGCTATGTGCAAAGTTCCATGGGGAACCTAGGTGACTGGTACGGTAAAAGGCAACAGGGAGTTGGGGGAGGGAGGGAGGGAGGGAGGGGATTTTATTCTTATTCCCCATCTTAGCATTTTCCTGTCATAATTCCTTTTTCTGTCCTTTTGTATAAGGGGAAAATGTCAGTGGCAGTAAAGAGACAAAAATGACGGTAGGAGAGGTCCGTCCTAGGGCTGTAGAGAATTTCATCATGACCTTGGTAGCCTTGGCAGGAGCTGACAATGCAAAGCAGGTTGTTCTTGGCTTTATGCTTGATTGTCTAAACTCCATAGAAAACACACTCCCTCATTGTATGACCCCACCCTCCTAACACACTCCCAAAATGCCACTAGACAGTGGCGTGGAGAAAGATAGAGTCCCTTTTATCATCGCCCTTTTGGGCCAGCCCGCCTTTTCTTCCTTTCCCCGAGGCGGCTCTAGGCGCTTCCTGAAGGCTTTGCATTTCTGTGTCTGAGATGAATAGCCACACGCGAGGACTTGCACTGATTAGCCAAGCACACGGCTCCTCTGCTTTGCTGTCTCTTGGCCACAATGATGATTTTACATGGAGCAACAGCACTGAGAAAGATTAGGGAGAGAATTAGATTTGGGTGTACTCAAATGGATTTGTAGTTTTCAAACTACAATAATAATGGCCAGAGACATTTGCATAGGGTTTTCTACATGCCAGACGCATAGGTACTATTACCTAAGAAATTAAGCCAGAGAAGGGATAAGACAGCACACCTGTTCTTATATAATAATAAGCCTACTGTTCGTTCATGTTTCTGAGCTGAATGGTGCTATAAAAATGGCTTTCTTCATTGTTCCACAAGAAGAGCCAGGGAGATAGCTCAGTGGCACAGTGCATGCCTGGTCAGTGCCTGGCAAGCGCAAGGTCTTGAGTTTGATTCTGAATACAAACAACAACAACAAAAAAGGAAACAAAAGTATTCTTCAAGAAAAGTTCAGATCAGTTGAATTCCATGAATTTCTTCCCTTTTCTTTGTCTTGTTTTTAAGTCGTAAAATTGTGTCTGTAATTTTACAAAGGATATTTATTGATCAAACCAGACATAGTGGTATGATTTATTTATTTATTGATTTATTTTTGGTACTGGGGGTTGAACTCAAGATTCAAGCAGGGATTGAACTCATGCTTGCCGTGCGGGCGCTTATGCCACTGAGCTATCTCCCTGGCAGTGGTGGGCTTCTACAGCTCCAACTATCTGAGAGACAGAGGCAAGAAGGTGGTCACTTGAACCCAGGAGTTTAAAGCCCAACCTGGGCAGCATAGGGAAACTCCTTTTGAGGAAAAAAAGTATTTCTTGAGAACCTAACATGTGCTAGACACTGTTTATACCATATCAGCATTATCAGTTAAAAATGAAATTACTCAGCTAAGTAAGCCTGACACTCAGAGGGGTTAAGTGATTTGTTAAAGTTTATATGACACTTTGGGATAAAGCCCAATCTAGAGAAGATTTTCTTTTTTTCATTTCTTTTCTTTTTTTTTTTTTTTTTTTTGTGGAACCGGGGATTGAATTCAGGCCCTTGCACTTGCCAGGGAAGCGCTTATTCCACTGAGCCATCTCCCCGTGAAGATTTTCTGTTACAACTACATTTTCATTAAAATAGAAGTGATATTGCATAGATAAAAGGACATCTTCTAGATTGCAAACCAACAAAGAGCACTTGGCAGGAAAAAAGCCAGCACAGGGCAGTGATTCCGTGGCTAATGACTCCCATGGGGCACTCTCTGATGGGACTTTCTTTTCTTTTTTCTTAAAAAAAGCTTTTATTTATTTATTTTGATTGTTTGTTTTGGTAGGCCAGTTTCAATAATTAACACATTGCATACATTCTTCCTAGTGGTTAACTGCTGTACAAGATGCAGACATGATATCCTATTTACAAACACCATTAGAACAAATCACTCTATTCATTAAGAGAATGTAACTATATATCTATCCTAACCAC